CAAGAATTTTAGTGAACGTTTGGTTTATAGATTCAGAATCATAATTTAGAATCATTTTTTATTTACGTGTATTTTTTATGAGAAAAATACTATAACGAACTACGAACTATGATTCGAATCATATCACGAATTCATCAACCAAACACACTCTAAACTTATCCGACTTAAAAGGAACTTATTGGCATTATGAATGGCACTTTTTTTCCAACATCCATGGCCCAATGTAATGTTACTTCTGATTTTTTTTTAAATTTCTCTAATAGGATTAAAAAAATAAATTATTAATAATTATTTACTTTTCAATCATCGGATCTATATTGAAAATTGTCTATATTGCATTTTTTTAATCTGATCCAATTTTAACTAAATTCAATAATCAAAATTGACATACCGATAGATCGGTTGCCATAAAAAGTCTTTTTTTTTTTTTTTTTTTAGTTTCTATGTGATTACATATTGGGTAACGATTTGGATAAAATTGTGTTTCATCATTACATAGGATTTGACACATATCATTAGTTCTCTTAGAATAAGCAACTATGGTTGTTAGACACCGGAGTAAATAATTTATTACCGTTAAATATTACTTCAAATATTTTAAACATGTTATTACTGTAACCAATGAGCTGCGGAAATGAAGTTAGCAATTTAGTTCAGATCGACAGAGAAGACCATATTTGATGAGTCAGGGAGGTTCGAAAGTTCCGATATACTTGAACCAAACCGCCTTTGAGAGTCCCCTTCTTTGCCCAATCCACCATATCAAACGATAAAAAAGCTCCCCCTCCCCCTTATTAAGTAAAACTTTTATTATTATTATTATTATATTATTATTTCGCTCTCACCCTCTGATTAACTGATTAAGTAAAATTAAGACAATTTTTAATACAAATGTTAATATTAATACTATATTTAACATCAAAAAATGTAATATAATATGTTATTTTTATTTGTACTTTAATGCATAATTCTATTTAAAATTATTTATTTACTTTTTTTCATAATCATTAAGTTTTGAAAGTTTTAATAGTAGTTTTTTTTCAATAATTAGAAATTACAAAATATGTAATGATTACATGAAAAGTAAACATTTTAACTAATAACAGTTAAATGTTAAATTTTTCATATGCTATACTTTGTGAGAAATTTGCTACAAAATATAGCATATGAAAAATTTGATATAACAAATAGTATTGCATTGGAGAGTGTTTTTTGCACTCAAATGTTAAATTTGTAATTGACACATCAATTATAGCATTGTGTTAGAGATGCTCTAAGTTACCAATATGTGATCATGAGCATCCAAACATGACGTTTTATATATTTTTTTCTTCCCATTTGAGCATGATTACCAAGAATTTTAACTTTGCAACCATATGACAATATCGGTGATAATCTATTCTTTAGTGATGATTAGTGATGATTCAATACTTTACCACAAACAAACCAATTTCATATATCATGAGAAATGTCCTAGTCGCAACATATTTGCCCATATGCTAAAAACAAGCAAAGTTAAACTTAATTCTAACTAGCTAAGTTCCGAACAATTGCTAGTGCTGCAATTGTACAATTTCTTTCAATTGTTATTGGAAGTGGGGTCCACTTTAAACCCTACAAGATTGGGACAATTGAAGAAAGGCTAGAATCTTGATTTTTTTTTTTTTAATATTGATTTTTATTTTTATTTTTGTAAAGAAGTTCTAGGTGGAATGAAACGGCTTTAAGATGATAACGACATGTCCATTATAGACTACCTTAATGGCCAAGTGTTTGGCATGTATTGGAAGTGAATTAGAAATAATCAAGCTTTTACACTTGCAATCCTATAAAGAGAAACGACAATGAATGTTGTTTTCAAGTGCTCAATTAGTCAATTATCTAATCCAATTTTAATCCTTAAAATGGCAGATAGAAATGAAAACATCATGATACAATCATTCAATGCATTATACATTTATGTCCCAAGTCCATTTCTCAAGTAAGTAGATCTAGATTAAATTCCAAAAAAGAAAAAAGGTAAATCCCAGATACATTATCCTTGTTTGCTTTAACGATCCAATTGGTAGTTGGCGCCATATTACTGGCTTAACTAATAGAATCAAACATCATTTATTATAAAAGAATTTGGAAATGCATTGATTTTTTTTATCTCATTTGCTAAGATTGTGAAAAAAGGATATCCTGCACATATTTTTCAGTTTTAATTTGTTTTTTTCCCTACAAAATGATTAAAAAAAAGCGGTGAGCGTTGCAGAAACTGAAACACCAATTGGGAGGTTTTGTACCAATAAAAAAATCAACAATGATAATTTGTATCATTAACCAGATATTTAGTTTATAATTTATATCTAAATGATGTACAATTTCTTTAATACTTATCATTTTATTTAATTGAATAAGAGCTGAAATTTCATTCAACTCAAACAAATATTATAATTACAAATCTTATAGAAAAATAAGATCGATGTCGTCAGAAACGATTCATTGTAATAACCAAAAAATTAAAACCATTGTTTGTATTAAAGAGTAAAGAAAATTTTGTTATACACTCTTTTTAACCGGCACACACGTCTCTACACAAATTAGGTAAGTTCGATCTTAATAGAAAATAAATTTTATGATATTTTCAAAATACTGTCTGATTTTAATAGAGAATTTTTTAATTAATACGAGATGAAATTGGTGATGTCTCTGACCGTTTAAAATCTTATTGATCTAATTATACTCAAAAAACTACATATCTAACATAAAAGTAATAAACCTAAACAAGTTACCCTTAAATTAATATCTGAGTTGACTAAATTTATCACTACTATAGAATGAATTTAAAGTGGATAAATTTTTTTAGAATTTATGAAGAAAATATTAAACCTATGAAATTAAAAAATAGAATTAAATAAAAGAAAAGAGAGATCTTAAGAATCTACTTCTGGCGGAAAGAATTATCAAAATTTTGAGATGAAAATAAGAAGAGAATCCTAATCCTAACTATAATAAAAGAGCGGAAAAAGTTCCACCATTCACTCCATAGTCGTCATATGCGCACCGTTTTGGTGCTTGCCCACTTTTTTTTTTTTTTTTTTTTTTTTTTTTTTTTCCCCCCTTTTTTTTTTTTTTTTTTTTTTTTTTTTTTTTCACACTACCTTTTCGTTTCTTTCTTTTTAGCATGCTTTTGATGTCTATATATATGTATGTATGCATAAATTTTTATTTTTGCCTTTTTTTCTTTTGTTTTTTTTTTTTCACTCTATTTGTTTACCCTAGTCTTGTACTACACTACTTGAATTTTAGGAGACGTTTAGTTCATAGATTAGAATCATAATATTAGAATTATTTTTGATTTACGTGTATTTTTTATGAGAAAAAATACTGTACGAACCATGATTCAAATCGGGGTACGAATCCCCCAACCAAACAACTCCTTAATTTTTATAACTTCGATTTTGTGCTTTATCTTTTTATCTTTTTTTTAACTCTATTTTTCTACCATTATATTTACGCAGGTGCTTTACCTATTTTTTTTTTCTTTTCTTCTTTTTGGCTTTATGTGTCTATCATAATTTTTTACCTCCAATATTTTCCTAACAATTCTAATTCTGTTCTTCATTTATTTTCTCTCCGTTTGAATTCTATCCTCTTTCTCATAAATTTTTTAAATCTCCAATCTCAACTTTCTCACTATAATAATCTCTTTAACTTTTATTAATTATGACTAATATTGCAGTTAATTTCTTTCCTTCCTTCCATGGTCAAATGTTTATGTGTGGGTATGTTTCTCTATATTTTTGGGTTTATTTTAACCAAAAAAACGAAACCAAAATTTTACTCAGTAATGAAATATACAATTTTATCTCCTTAATTAATAAACAATCCATTTTCAAAATAAATCTAACACAATAATGGCATGTGAGGCCCCTCATTTTTTTTCTTACTTCCATTCACTTTGTCCCCCTCATTTTTTTAATCTTTTTCATCTCTTTCTAACTTCATTCTTATCTTTTATTTTGTTTCTTTTTATTTTAACTTCTTCTTTCATTCTTTTTTAACTTAATTTGTCCATGAATATCTCTTATGAATGGGGTTTTATCTTTTTTCTTTTTCAGTTTTACCTTTTTTTCATTTCTTTCTTTTTTACACCATTTGTCTACTATAGTCACTTACACTAATATTCTCATAATTGTTCTTTTTGTTCCTCTCTATCTTTCTTTTAAATATTTTAAACCTCAAATCTAAACTTTCTCATAAGAATAATCTTCTTATTTGTGTTTTTTTTTTTTGTTATCTTATATAGAATGTTTTATCAATTTAATTGTATAAGTTTTTCACTTGAACTACTATTTATATACTTTTTAAAAATTTCTTAGAAAAACTTTTTTTTTACATTTTTGTTATTTGTATTCTATGTTATAAAAACTTTAATTACAACTTTATACATGCTCTCACGTAATTAAACTAGTAATGGGAAAAGAATAGAACCAACCTTAGGGTAAAAAAAAAAAAAAAACTAACCTTAGGGCTCAAGCCTAATATTTAGCAGTTTACAGCGAAAAAAAAAAAAAAAAAACCTAATATTTAGTTGAAGAATTCTCCTAATTAATCTGTCTAGTAATGGGAAAAGAATAGAACCAACCTTAGGGTAAAAAAAAAAAAAAAACTAACCTTAGGGCTCAAGCCTAATATTTAGCAGTTTACAGCGAAAAAAAAAATAAAAAAAACCTAATATTTAGTTGAAGAATTCTCCTAATTAATCTGTCTACGTCAATTTTCGAGTAAGGAAAAGACAAGGAAAAAAAGAACAAAGAGAAAAAATAAATAAAATAAAAAAGCACCGTCATCCACGGAGTAAACAAAACGGTCATACGGTCCTACCAGCTAGACTGTAGCAGACATATGTAGTGGCATTTCCGTAATAATCTCGCAGAACGAACCCCAATAATTACAAACCCCAAAGTCTCAATGCCTACCTTTTGCTTTTTTCTTCACTCTCTCTTCTTCTATCCGTTGAAACCGTCTCTCTCTCTACTGTCTCTCTCTATGCAAATTCCTCCACTGTCTGTCCTAATGCTCCCATCAGCCTGCAAACTCCCCCAACGTCTCTCTCACTAACGCATTTTCTCTCTCACTTTCTCGAGAAAATTATCATCCTCACCTCGCCGGAAACAATGTCGGTTTCCGGCGACGCAGCTTCCAGAAACTCCCTCTCCCACACTCTCTCCTCCAGAACGCCCTTTCTGGGTTTAAGACTCTACGTAGTCATCGCGATTCTCCTTCTGTGCTTGCTCTCGTTTTTTCTCCTGATCTTCCTCTGCATTCGCTCCAATCGAACCTCGCGAAAGCGCAAAATGCGAGTCAAGCACAGCTCCGGATCAATCCCACTGGTCTCGAAGGAGATCGTGGAGATCAAGAAGGCTCAAGGCCCGGATCGCACCGAGAAATCGGTGGTCAAAATCGGAAACGTTTTGAATTTAGAGAAGGACATCGAAGGCGGCGCTGGCGGTGGTAGAGAAGAGATCAGGATTGGCGTGATCGAGAGAGGGAAAAGGAGCGAGGAGAGCGACGCTTCCGGCGGCAGCCGGAGCGACGCGTCGGCGGAGACGCAGAACATCGGGTGGGGACGGTGGTACGGCTTGAAGGAGCTCGAGATTGCGACATGTGGATTCTCCAGCGAGAATGTGATCGGAGAAGGAGGGTACGGGATTGTATACAGAGGAGTTTTGCAGGACGGTTCGGTGGTGGCCGTGAAGAATCTTCTTAACAACAAGTATGTGAAATTCAGAAATTCCAAATCTCAAGCCTTTGAATTTGCTGTGTTTTTGCTTCTGCATTAATCTTTTCTATTCATATAAAATATATTAACGGAAGAAACTATGCATATTTTTACGTCTAAGAGATAGAGCATTTGGTTGACCAGGAAAAAGAGGAAAAAAATAACAGAAATTCTTGTCTATTTGTTCGCTAGATGATAATTTGTTCCTGCGGATAATGATTGATTTAGCATATTTTTAACTGTTTTGCTCTGTAGTAGCTCGTTAATTAAGGACGTTTGTTGTCTGTAAGACTTGGATCTGGAATGTCTGTGTCGGTCATGTTATTATTATTATTATTTATTATTGGGAAGAATTTCATCGTTTTCAATTTGCTTTTTCTCTTTTTAAGTTTCTGGGTAAGAAAGAGATTGTCTTTGTTGCGGTCCTCGCGGCCTGATTGAGAAAAGAAAATGGTCACTTTCTGCTTTATTCACTCCTCTTTTTTCCTCTTTATTTTTTGCCATCATTGTTTCCATCTTTATTTTATTCATTCACTTCCTGTTTGCCAAATTATTAGTTAGCTTTTGTTATTATCTGCAGATTAAGAATTTATATAATAATTCTTTTAAAGAAAATAAAAGGAACAAATAAAGATGAATTATTATCTGCAGATTAAGAATTTATATAGTAATTCTTTTAAAGAAAATAAAAGGAACAAATAAAGATGAATGTTGGTTGGCCCATAAAGATTAGTTAAATGAAACATGCAAGCTTTTTCGATGTCTGAGATGTTCCCACCAATATATATACATATATATATATATATACACATATAAATAATTTTTTCTTTTTCTTTCAACTTATACTTTTATATTTTATTTAACCAATGCCGTTGGTTAAGCGTTTAAGATCCGTTTGTTGTGATCATCTTTTATTTAACTTTATTTTTGCTCAATGTACTGATCTTAATTGTGTAGGGGTCAGGCCGAGAAGGAGTTCAAGGTAGAAGTTGAAGCCATTGGGAAAGTAAGGCACAAGAATTTAGTGGGTTTAGTTGGTTGTTGTGCAGAAGGTCCTCAAAGGTAACTCCAGCATTATATATATTTATCATATATTCAAAGGTAACTCCAGCATTATATATATTTATCATATATTTGTGATAATAAATATTTTCACTGCTCGTCTTTTGTAATATGTTTGTGGGATTCTGTTGTATTTCGTATATTTATTCAGGATGCTTGTCTACGAGTATATTGACAATGGTAACTTGGAGCAGTGGTTGCATGGTGACGTTGGGCCTGTTAGCCCCTTGACATGGGATATTCGAATGAAGATAGCCATTGGAACTGCAAAAGGGTATGATAAAATCTATTCTTCTCCTTGTTCATTTCGTGGGGTTTATTTCATCTTTCTTATGCATAGCTGGTCAAAGCAAAGCTAAACACCAGTGTTCTCAAAAACGTCATGGCTATAAAGAATTACTTAGACAAGCAATGGAACATTCAAACTAACAAATCATATTAAATGAAAGTTTGTCAGCTTTTGCACTGATTCCTTTAGTGGTTTAGTTTTTCATTCACTGGCTTATGGTTATTGGTACTGTACAGGCTGGCCTATTTGCATGAAGGCTTGGAACCCAAAGTGGTGCACAGGGATGTTAAATCAAGTAATATTCTTCTGGATAGAATGTGGAATGCAAAAGTATCAGATTTTGGATTGGCGAAGCTATTGGGGCCCGAGTCAAGCTATGTGACTACACGTGTAATGGGAACATTTGGGTTTGTTAATCCTCAAACAGCTGAAACAAATTTGGATAAGTTTAAAGTTTATCAGATTTACATATATCTGACTTTATGCTGTATTGTTAAATTGTTAATACCATATTCTGCAGATACGTCTCCCCAGAATATGCAAGCACAGGTATGCTTAACGAGGGAAGTGACGTATATAGTTTTGGAGTTCTTCTCATGGAGATAATTACAGGAAGAAGTCCAATTGATTATTCCAGACCACCTGCAGAGGTGAAATAAAGTTTTCCCTTCGCATTTCCATCATGCATTACATTGCATTCACTCATCACTGTTTGATTGATGAATTTCAGATGAACTTGGTTGATTGGTTTAAAGGAATGGTTGCAAACCGTCGTGGTGATGAGGTTGTTGACCCTTTGATTGAAGCTCAGCCCCCTCCAAGAAATATGAAGCGTGCATTGCTGGTTTGTCTGCGCTGTATAGATTTAGATGTCAGTAAACGACCAAAAATGGGTCAAATTGTTCATATGCTTGAGGGAGATGACTTCCCTTTCCGTACGGTGAGCATTTGTGATGTTGTTTTGTTTGGTGTCCCTTCTTTTTCTTGAGGCACCATTCTCATGATTTGATCGCAATAATCTTTATTGAGGGAGATATACCAGTTGGCTTCAGATACCATGTTGACATCACTTGAAATTATTGCAAGAAAACCAAACTGGTAGTTCTTGGTAGTTGGGATATGCCATGTACTAACGATTAACTAACTATTTAAGTTTCAGAAAACGCTCACAATTTGCATACATTATTACTCTGCAATAGTATTACAAATGTATGGTAAAGTGCTAGTTAGTTGTGATGTTGATACTTCCACTAGTTGCCTGTTTTTGTAGCAAGTAGCAAGTATTCTGTTCTTTGGTTTCAGCTACCTAATTATCTGTTTGATGATCCACAGGAGCCGCGATCAGCTAAGGAGAAGGATCCTCTCCCACCCCATGGACCTACATCCCATAAAGCTCCATATCTACCCGAGCGTTCTGAGATAGGCGATACTGGTACAGAGAGATCAAGATGGAGATGATCATTATATTTTTTGCAGGACAAGGGATAGTTCCTGAGGTCGTTTCTGTAACATAATTCTTCACAGTTGCAAGCGTTGAATATTGCACAATGCATACATGTTTTACATTCGTCACCCCCTATATTTTTGCAGGACAAGGGATAGTTCCTGAGGTCGTTTCTGTAACATAATTCTTCACAGTTGCAAGCGTTGAATATTGCACAATGCATACATGTTTTACATTCGTCACCCCCTATATTTTTGTTGATATATTGCCGCATCTTATATATAGATGATCCTTGTAAATATGACTTCAAATTTTTAGTATGGGAATTGTACAAGCCCCTGATGCAAAATACCAATTAAAAGTTCCCCTTTTTTCTTTTTCATTATACTATATTTAGACTCATACGTGTTGATTTTTGGTAGCGGAAAGTGGTGTTCTCATTTTAATGCAATCTGTTACGAGCCACCCATCTTCAAGAATAAAGAAGATGTGATGAATTGTAACAATTATAGGGACATACAGTTAATAAGTCACACTATGAAACTTTGGAAGAGAGTTATCGAAAGGAGATTAAGGACCACAACTACCATCTCACGTAACCAATTTGGCTTCATGCCAGGCAGATCAACCACGGAAGCCATTTTTCTTCTTAGGATGCTGATGGAAAGGTACAGAGAAGCCAAGACGGACCTACATATGGTCTTTATAGATTTAGAAAAGGCATATGATAGGGTGCCGAGGGAAGTTTTATGGTGGGTGCTAGAAAAGAGAGGAGTGCATGTGAGGTATATTAAGGTAATTAAGGACATGTACAATGGGGTGGTCACGAGTGTGAGAACTGCTGGAGGCTACACGACAGAGTTCCCCATCCGGATCAGCCTTCATCAAGGATCTGCTCTTAGTCCTTATCTTTTCACCATCGTGATGGATGAGCTGATAAGAGAAATCCAAGATAGAGTTCCTTGGTGTATGCTTTTTGCGGATGATATAGTTTTAGTTGATGAACATAGGGAATGAGTTAACTGTAAGTTAGAACTGTGGAGATAGACTCTCGAGATGAAAGGATTTAAGTTAAGTATGACGAAAACTGAATACATGCATTATAGATTTAGTAACTCAAGTAATTTCTATAGATGATGTGGAGATTGGGGCTTCTAGGAAATTTAGGTACCTTGGGTCTATAGTGCAGCACAAATGAGATATAGAAGAGGATATTCAATATAGGATTAAGGCATGGTGGGTTAAGTGGAAGAATGCTACAGGAGTTTTATGTGACGACAAGATGCCTATTAAGTTGAAAGGAAAGTTCTATAGGACTGTAATCCGTCAAGCTATGTTATATGATAGTGAATGTTGGGCCATTAAGAGACAACATATATCTAAGATGAGTGTGGCAAAAATGTGTATGTGATGAGTGGCCATACGAGAATGGACCGCATAAGGAATGAAGTTATTCGTAGTAAAGTAGGTGTAACACCAATAGAAGATAAGGTGCGCGAATGCCGCTTGAGATGGTTCGAACATGTTCAACGTAGACCGCTAGAAGCACCAGTTCATGCTTGGGAGGACATTCTTATACCTAATACTAGGAGAGGGAGGGGTAGACCAAGAATTACGTGGACCGAAGTCGTTAAGAAAGACATTCTAGATCTAGGCCTTCAGGAAAGTATAATTTCGAACAGAGTCATGTGAAAAAGTGAAATCCATATAGCCGACTCTAATTAAGTTAGGATTAAGACTTGTTATTATTGTTATTGTTACGAGCCACCCATCTCACAGTTAAAGACACATCATTATGGATTGTGCAAGTCTCACTTGTTTGGTTGTGCATCAGGATTGTGAAACGACAATTCTATGTCTTCAAAAGTGGTGTAAACCCTTTTGAGGTAATTTATTGTCTTTTCGTAATAAAAGAAAAATATGGTTTTGCTATCTACTTTTGGAGCAATGAGTGTATTGTAAGCGATTTTGTTTTAGTTTGCTTATGGTTTTAACGGTCACAAAGTGTGCTCGAGTATAACAGTTTACCGTAGGGAAAAACTCTTTCCTAAATTCAAAAGTTACCTTCACCTACCTTACCTAGACATGAAGATTGCAGCTTCTTGCGTCTGTCACCCACATTGCAAGCAAACAGCATTTATTGCTTTCAACTATGTTTGTGGCCTTGATTAGTCTATTAAAAACCCGTTTACTTCGCTGATTTAAGTTTTAAATTCGAGTTAAGATGTGACTTTATGTAAATTTTTTACTGTAACAAAAAGTTAAATGTGATTATTTCTGAGAGATTTTTACTATAACAAAACTCGAATCGATGAAATGAACGAAACTTAAGTATTGACACATAAAATCATTAGCAAAAAAAAGTACTGACACATAATGTTGCGTTATACATAATACTCAAAAGATTAAAAAAAAAACATAATACAAGTTATTGTGACTTCTGAAGTGATTTTTTTTTTTTTTTTTTTGAGAATAAGTGAGGTGAAAATTGATTAATTATTTTAATCATAGAAAAAAAAAACTGACTCTTTATTGGACGAAAGGCCGCCATTATTTTGTTGGAAAAACACTAAAAAGGTCATCAATTGAAAATTCACACAAAATGATTGGAAAATGCTAAATAACTTCAATTCTATTCATAACTGATAACTTTCTATTATATTCAAAACCGATATACAGTTAAAATTATTTTATTTTTTACGGGCTGTCTGATGAGTGATATCATTTTAATAGAAATAGTAAGAAATAGGCTAATATGAAAAGCTTAAAAAAGTATATAGGTCAATTTTTAGTTATAAAAATTAATAGGCCATAACTTGTCAAGTTATGGTTCATAACTAAATAAGTTATGGACAAACTCGTCAAGTTATGATTCATAGCCAGACAAGTTATGGATAAAAACCGTAAATTATAGACAATAACTTGTCAAGTTATGGTTTATAATCAGACAAGTTATGGACAAAAATAATAATTTGACCTATTTATTAACTTATGTAAACTATTAATTTATTAATTTTAATTCATCTCAAATTTTTGTCTATTTCTTTCTTTCTCCCATTAAACTAAAGCATTTAGCATATCTAATTGTTCTCAATAATAACCTTTAAACACCATATCAATTATTAAAGATCGACTCTCTTTGTACATTCTTAAGCACGTTACTACAACCATACAAAACATATTAAAAAAAAATTTCGTTGGATGATACATTCTGTCCTGGACGAAACGTATTACATAAATTGCTATACCATCACCTTTTTTTTTATTTTTTTTTATTTTTGCTAAAGTGCCCTTTAGGTTAGTGTGCTTGGATAACACGGGTTGGAGGTGGATTATGATGATATAACTCTAAGACAATAATGAAAAAGAAGGCGATGATTTTCCAAACTAGAGATTGGGCCGACCCGAAAAAGAAAGCGGGTCTATGCTGACCTGAACTGTTCTGAACTTTTGTAAGATATTTTTTTAGAAAAGGAGACGAATGTCTTCTTAGATCAGATGAGTATTAGATTTTCACCTTTTATTAGTGATTAATATCTTTTAATTAAAAAATTATATTAGTTTAAAATGTATTAATCAAGTATAAATAGTATAAATTTTAAATAATACATTTAAGAGTGAGCTCATCAATTTTTTTTCTAAAAAAATTTTAAAAAAACATTTGGTCCCCCAAAATGGGCCAAACCTGACCCCAAAAAAGCTATCGATCTCAAAATCTCAGCCCAACTTTTAGGTCCCATTAGAAGAAAAAATTGAGAATTTATTTTTCAGAGTATATTTTTCAAAATATATGAATTTGAATCTTTATTTTTTATTCTTAATAAATATCTTTTTATTATTATAATTATTTAATTAAAACAGTTATAAATTAAAAATAAATGATAAAAATTATAATTTATACACTTTTAATAAGTATTTATTAAAATTATACAATTTAAAAACTTAAATAGACTGAACCCGAAGTAACAATAACAAGCTTCGATCCGGTCTGTTTAGCTCGACCAGAAATTGCAGTTGTATTAATGACAGAGGAAAAAAGAAAGAACAATTAAAAGCATCAATCGCTTAGGTTGCACGATTATGCCTACGTACTCGACCACACACAATCATATATCCCATTATCTCGGGTTCCACTCCTACTCATTGTCCATAACTTCGCATTTCTTTTTTCTTTTTACAGGTGCTCCGCAGCGCAGATAAACAGCACCAAGATTCCTTCTCCTCATGCCACGTGTCAAGAAACTTGATTAAAAACACTCCGTCAGAACACCCGCGTAAAGGCAAATCTTCATCAGATCAGATCCATCCATTCTAGACCCGCCAAATCAAAATTCCATTTTCTCCTTTCGGCGTCAAAAATAAAAAAAAAAATAAAAAAAAAATAAACAAAGCCAAGAGAAAAAGGCTCGCAGATAATTAACCAACAGCCACTGGCTATCAGATCTGAGATTGAGTTTTGAGCAATGGAGGAAAAGCTGATACAGAGATTGGAATCGGCGGTGGCGCGCTTGGAGGCGCTCTCGGCGGGAGGCTTCAGGGCCGGAGGTTCGTCGGAGAGCGGCGGTGATAATGCCGCGCCGGTGGATCACTCGATTCTGGCCTTCGACGATCTGACGGGGCAGTACTTGTCTAGGGTTTCCGCTGCGGCGGAGAAGATTGGGGGACAAGTTTCTGAGGTCACCAAGATTCTCCAGGATGCTTTCGCTGTTCTCAGGGAGCTTCTCGTCAAGGTTAAGCAAACACAGGTTGGTTGGTGATTCCAAACGCTTTTCTGTTTTAGGGTTTCCTTTTCGTTGAAAGGTTGTGAATTGAAGTTCTGATTTGGAGGTATTGGATGAAATTGTTGGTTATTTGGTGGTAATGTGGCCCAATTTTGTATTTTTTTTTTGGTTAGCCTTGGAAATGGTAGAATTATTATTAGAATTTGTTTGGTTTTAATATCGAATACTTAAAAGGATGTTTGATCAATGAATTCATAAATATGACCGGTTTCCCTACCATATATATATATATATATTTATATGTATGTGAATAACTTGTGGCAACCGGTGAGATTGGATCATCAAATATAAAAATTTGATGTGAAATGTCCATTGAAAACTCATCTGTGTGTGTTTGATACTGCTAATTTTGAGATAATTAACAAGATTTATTTAAGAAAAATGGAAATGAGATTTCAAGTAGGAGAAAGGAGAGGTTCTGGTATGGGGTATTAGCTGCTTAGATTTATTGGGATATGGTGTCGTTTTTTGGTAATGGATTATATCGATGTTAAATTAGTTTTGCTGCTATTGTGCAGAAACCAGACCTTGCAGGACTGGCCGAATTTCTCAAGCCGTTGAATGAAGTAATCACGAAAGCAAATGCATTGACAGAAGGAAGGCGATCTGATATCTTTAACCACTTGAAGGCTGCAGCTGATAGTCTTTCAGCTTTAGCATGGATTGCGTATACGGGAAAAGATTGTGGTAAGCAATGAGCAAAATGTATAGGCGCTTTTCTATCTTGAGAGAGGGAACAATTAAAAGAGAATGGATGATTCAATTTCTCTAATATGTGTTCCCCTTTTGAAGGAATGAGTATGCCTATTGCACATGTGGAAGAGAGTTGGCAGATGGCTGAATTTTACAACAACAAGGTACTCTTAAGCTGCTAATGCCATAAGAAGCTATATGTTTTGTTTGTGAATATTCTTTCGCTGCAAAGGAAAGCAAGATGTGGAAACTTGTAGGATGATCTGATATGTTCAATTACTCTGAAGCTAATGTTTCAATATTTGCTAATGCATGGTTCAAAAATTACATGCTGGTTAGCTGCACACTTTATTTCCTTGCAGCATACAATCAGGGTCGCTGATAATAGTGATTTTTATTTATTATGTATTTTTAATCAGTGGGAAGATTTCATTAGAAATGCCACTCTTATGCTTTCCCCCATGTAGACTCTGTACAACAATCAATAGATAGTGTGCATACAAAATCTGAGACCAATTTAAAAGATGAGTTTTCTGTCCATTTGAAGAGTCGTCTAAATTTGAGACTATTTCCTTCACAAGGTTTTCCTATGCCTCAAAAGGTATCTTCTGTTCAGCATCAAAGACACAAATGATTCTTTTTTCCATGCATCCTTGTTAGTTTTTTCACATATTTTTCTTGACTGAGCTGAAACTATGCCTCAAGTTGATCTGTTTTAATGCCTGACAGACTGTGAATAGAAAAAGAGCCTCCTGATCTTTCAAGGAATAGGGAAAGGCACAAGCAATTTCTAGTAGTTCCTGCACATAGAATCTCTATTGCATATTTAGTGATTTATCAAGAACAATGATTTTGGGGTAGGTTCTGACACTTGGCATTTATAAACTCAGATTCTGGTACAGTACAAAAGCAAAGACCCAAACCATGTAGAGTGGGCCAAAGCCCTGAAGGAGCTTTATTTGCCTGGTCTGAGAGACTATGTTAAGAGTCACTATCCCTTGGGTCCAGTTTGGAGTGCCACTGGTAAAGCAGTCACTGCTGCTCCAACAAAAGCTCCGACACCAAAAGCCCCTGCCCCTCCACCTCCTCCACCAGCTTCTCTTTTCGCTTCTGAATCTTCCCAAGCATCGTCATCAGGTCCCAAACAGGGGATGTCTGCTGTTTTCCAAGAAATTAATTCTGGGAAGCCTGTGGCTGCTGGTAGGTTTCCTTCTTGTGAATCGTTTTTTGCTTGTGGATTTGTTTATTTGTTTGCTGTAGAAGCATATAGGCCTGATTGCTATTTATTTTTCCTTTCTTCCTAGGTTTAAGAAAGGTTACGGATGATATGAAGACAAAGAATCGCACCGATAGAACTAGTTTTGTTGGTGCCAGTGAAAAGGAAACTCGTACCAGTTCACCCTCCTTTTCCAAGGCAGGTCCTCCAAAACTGGAGCTTCAAATGGGCCGTAAGTGAGTATCATCATTTCTATGTTATGTTTAGATTTGTATAGGGATAATGAGTCAATGACATAATGCCGTTATGCCAGTATGTGATATGCAATTGAAATGGTCTCTTCATGCACCTCTTTGCAGGTGGGTTGTTGAGAATCAAATTGGAAGGAAAAACTTGGTGATTGATGACTGTGATGCAAAACAATCTGTCTATATATTTGGATGCAAAGAGTCTGTTTTGCAGGTTCAAGGTAACTCTTGTTTTTCAAAAGTGTATTTCCTTTTAGTTAATAAATTAAAGTTATAGCGCATAGCGTGCATGCATGTGCAGTAGGTACTTTATAAATAGCCATGTTAATTATCATTATCTAACAATGTGCAGGGAAAGTCAATAACATTACTGTTGATAAGTGTACCAAGATGGGAGTTGTATTTACGGTGAGTATGTTGTAATTAGTTCAAGCAACAGGTGTTTGATTTTCGAGGTTCATCAAGGTTCTTCACTTGTATATACAGGATGTTGTGGCTGCTTTTGAGATTGTAAATTGCAATGGGGTTGAGGTGCAATGCCAGGTATCTGTTTTTCCCATGAATGTGCTTCATGATTCTATTTACCAATTCAAATCTTCCATAATTTACCAATTCAAATCTTCCATAATTTACCAAGTTTAATGGATTGGAGACTTCAAAAAAAAAAAAAAAATGGATTGGAGACTAAAAAAAAAAAAAAAAAATGGATTGGAGACTAAAAAAAAAGAGTTTAATGGATTGACATGTATTTCTATTATATGCAATAATCTGTTTTGTGGTTTTTAGGGTTCAGCTCCAACAATTTCGGTTGATAATACGGCGGGCTGCCAATTATATTTAAGCAAAGACTCTCTTGAGGCATCAATAACAACTGCTAAGTCAAGTGAGATTAACGTGTTGGTGCCTGGTTCTGGGCCAGATAGTGATTGGGTATGTTTCCGTGATTTTTATTTTTTGTGGTATAAGGATTTGATATTTTCATCATCTTATATATTTAATGGGCATGCATAACCTTCTTTGAGTTTAAAGAGCCAAAGTTATCCTTATTATTAATTTATAATCACTATTGATTTCATCTGAGTAATGGTTTGGTCGAGTTGGCATTTATATATAATTTGCATGCAATATTAAGTTCATTAAGTTTAACTTTATTGAAAGGCTAGAGAATGTCACTAGACGAGATATGGTGACCAAGGATGAAAAACTAAGCAACTAGTTGGTGCCACTGTATATATTTTTAAGTAAGCTGAAAGTTAGGAAGAGAAAATGGGGAAATGACTTTAAATCTCATGTCCGTATTTCATCTAAATTTTCCCTTTGTGAGAAAATGGCAAGGGTCTTGGCTTTCGAAAAGAATGTACAATGATTAATAGCATCTCCTTTGTCAATGATGTCTAGTTGTGTGTATAAAATTTCAGCAGTTTTGTGACTGAATAAAACCGGAAAAACTGGAAAGCATATTGGTCAAAATTGTAAACAGCACAGCTAGTATTGTCGAGAGGTATTTTAGGCAGGAAATCAATTAGGAAAATTAGTTTTAGCAATTCCTGATTTTCCGGGATTGTGGTAGATATTCTTTCTTATTTTCTCTCTATGTAAACTCTATAAATACTTAGCCATGTAATTATTCAATATACGGAAATACACAGATAATTTTCCAATCCCTAGTTTTCGACATGGTATCAGAGCCCTAGGGCGACTCTCTGGGATTTCACGCCGCTAAGTAGCCTTTATTGCTGCCGTTCATCCACGCTGCCAAGCAGCCTTCATTGCTGCCAGTCATCACAGCATCATCCTATTTTTTTTTCTTCTCTTCCTCTCCTTGAAATCTATTTTTCTTCCCCTTCATTCAATCATGTCCGATTCCAAGGCCACCAGCACTTCCTTGACTACTGAGGATGTTTCTCCTGCCCAGAAAACCGGAGACTTGCAGAATATTAGAGCCTCTTATCGACTCAATGGGAGAAACTATCTCAAGTGGTCACAAGTCGTTCGCATGTACCTCAAAGGAAAGGGAAAAATCAGCCATCTGCTTGGGACTAGACCAGCAAAAACAGACCCCGGATTTGTGGCATGGGATGAGGAGGATTCAATGATTATGTCATGGCTGTGGGATTCAATGGAACCAGCCATTAGTGATACTTGTATGTTTCTGGCTAGTGCGAAGGGGATATGGGATTACATTCAACGTACCTATTCAAAGGCACGTGATGCAGCCCAGGTGTATGAGATAAAGATTAAGACCAAATGGAATGAAGCAAGGAGACATGACTGTCACAGAGTGTGCCAATTTTTTGCAGATCATGTGGCAGGAATTGGATCACTATCGAGTGTTCGAGATGAAATGCCCGGAGGATGCAGCAATTCTCAAGAAATACATTGAAGGTGACAGAGTGTATGATTTTTTGGCTGGTTTAAGTTTTGAATTTGATCAAGTTCGGTTACAAATACTCAGTAAGGAGGATGTTCCTTCACTGGAAGAGACCATCTCAATTATTCGTGGAGAGGAGAGCCAAAGGAATGTGATGCTAGAAAAACCGAGTGGTATGGAAGGGTCTGCTCTGGTGACTAAATCGGAACATCAAGAGAAGAATAAGGATGACCAGCCAAGGAATTCAGGAAGGGAGAACCAGAGAAGGGAAAATCAAGATAATTTGTGGTGCACCTACTGCAAGAAGTCGAGGCATACCAAGGAAAATTGCTGGAAGTTGAATGGCAAACCTCTAAGCACTGCAGTGAGTGGGGAACACATGGAAGACAACAAAGGCCCCAAGCTCATCTCACGGAGCAATCAAAGTCTGAAGAAGGACCGGACAGCAAGGGATTTAAGGGAGATGAGATAGGGTTCAAAAGGGATGAGATTGAAAAATTACGGAGTCTATTGAGTTCTCTTGAAAAACCATCCGGAGCTAGTTCCTTAGTTCTCTCAAGTAACCTATTGATTTCTTATGCTTTGCACGCTTCTGGAAAATTTTTTGATGATTCTTGGATATTAGATTCCGGAGCCACGGACCACATGACACACTCCTCACATTTTTTCTGTACATATACTCCTTGTCCGAGTAATAGGAAGATTATCGTTGCAAATGGAGAATTAGCTACAGTGGCAGGTTTAGGAGATGTTTATATTAATCAATCCGTGGTCCTTAAAAATGTCTTGCATGTGCTAAAGTTATCAGCTAATCTTATTTCTATTCAAAAACTTACAACTGATCTTAAGTGTTGTGCAATATTTTTCTTGTCCCATTGTGTTCTTTAGGTTCAGGCCTCGGGGAGGAAAATTGGACTTGCTAAGGAAAGAAATGGTCTCTACCACCTGAAATTTCAAAGAAAATCGCCAGTAACTTGCATGTGTCTCTTCTCAGTTCTTCCAATAAAGATGCCATTTGGCTTCACCATTATCGTCTTGGTCACCCGTCCTTTAGAGTCCTACAAATTATGTTTCCACAATTGTTCATAGGAATTGATGTTTCTGAGTTTCAATGTGATGTTTGTGAACTAGCAAAACATACTAGTGTTCCTTTTCCTATCAGTAATAAAAGAAGCGTTTTTCCTGTTCAATTGATCCATAGTGATATTTGGGGTCCATCTACTATTCCTAATGTATCAGGGGCTCCTTGGTTTGTCTCATTAATTGATAATTGCACGCGTGTAACCTGGCTGTTTTTACTTAAACAAAAATATGATGTCAGTAATATTATTCCCAGCTTCCACTCCATGATCCAAAACCAATTTAGGGTGAAAATAAAAACCTTTAAGTAAGACAATGCTAGGGATTATTTCAACCAAGTTTTATCACTCTATTTTCAAAAAGAAGGAATTATTCACACTTCTTCTTGTGTGGATACACCCCAACAGAATGGGATAGCTGAGAGGAAAAATGGGCACCTATTAAATGTCACTAGAGCCTTGTTGTTTCATGGGAACACGCCTAAATCCTACTGGGGGGAAGTCGTCTTAACAGCCACGCACATGATAAATAGACTACCCTCACGTGTACTTGACAACAAGAGTCCTATGGAAATTCTTAATGCCCACTACCCTCACTTTAGAACCTCAAATGGCCTTATACCTAGATATTTGGATGCACAGCCTTTGTACATGTCCACCGCCCAAACAGAGGGAAGTTAGACCCCCGTGCAACCAAATGTATTTTTGTTGGCTATTCATCCACACAAAAGGGGTACAAATGCTATCATCCTCCATCAAGAAAATTCTATATCTCAGCTGATGTTACCTTCTTTGAAAACAAATCTTATTTCCCTAAGTCCCATCTTCAGGGGGAGACAACTAATCGTGAAGATGGTACTTGGTCTGAGTCGTTTGAGTCTTTTGAACCACTTGATCTTCTGTCTACCTCTCATTCTCCTTTAGTCATCACTCCGGTCACTCGACCAAGTCCTTCCCAAGAGCCCGAGTCTCCCAACACAGAAACCGACCCTACTTGTCAACCCCAAGAGCTTGCGTCCAGTCAAGTTACTGAGGTTCATCCAAGATTTTCTCAAGTGTATACGAGAAGGGCAAAAGCCCCAAACCTAACACTAGTCCCAGAGATCAACCCGAGTCCTGAGAATAAAGGCATGGTGAGTACAGATTCACTCCTAGACACTGAGACAGTTGAAGCTTCAGCCGATGACTCATTTGCCCATTGCCATCAGGAAAAAATCCCGAGAATGCTCCAAGAGGCCACTATGTCCTCTTTCCCCTTATGTCTCACCTAAACGCCTGTCATCATCCCACCAGAGGTTTATAGCTAGCCTAAACGCAATCTCCACACCAAATACACTTTCTGAGGCATTATTGAAGGAGGAGTGGAGGAATGCTATGAGAGAGGAATTAGAGGCTCTGGAAAAGAATCAAACATGGGAGATAGTTGAGAGACCAAAAGGAAAGAACATAGTTGATTGCAAATGGGTATTTGCATTAAAGTATAAGGCTGATGGATCTCTTGAGATATATAAAGCAAGGTTAGTTGCGAAAGGGTACACTCAGATTTATGGGGTGGATTATCAGGAGACATTCGCTTCGGTGGCAAAAATGAATACCGTGAGGACTTTAGTGTCGTTAGCAGCCCATTTTGACTGGCCATTGCTACAATATGATGTGAAAAATGCCTTTCTCCATGGAGACTTGGATGAGGAGATATATATGAGCATCCCGCCAGGGTTTGAGGGGAATAAAACCAGTGACAAAGTCTGCAAGCTTAAAAAGGCTCTATATGGGCTAAAACAGTCCCCTAGAGCATGGTTTGGTAGATTTGCTAAGGTAATGAAAGATTCGGGTTATAGGCAAAGTTAAGGTGATCACACGTTCTTCAAACATTCGGCCTCAGGGGGAGTGACTGCCTTGATTGTGTATGTTGATGATATTATCGTAACGGGGAATGATGAGAAGGAGAAAGATGACTTGAAGAGAAGACTGATTCAGGAATTTGAGATAAAGGCCTTGTTTGTTTCCGTTTTCAATCCCATTTTTCACGTTTTTCGAAGCAAAAAATTGAAAACGCGTTTGGCGCAAGTTTTTTTAAAAAACAAAAACAAAACCGTTTTTGTCGTTTTGTGAAATTCTGAAAACGAATTAAATCCGTTTTTCATTTTCCTTTTCATTTTCTTCATTCTTCTCTCTCTTCTCTGACTGCCCTCTTCTCTCTCTCATAAAAAAAGGGGAAAAAACTTGATAAACGAAGACGAGTGATGCTGGGTTCGGCGTGGGGGGGTTCCTGCACCTTCAACGGCGATGCTGAGCACGAGGCCGGCAGTGATAGAGTGCTCGTCTTGGCCCAACAAGAAGGCGACGGCCCACCGCATGAAGACTCGGCCGAAGAAGACGCAAGCCTGGGACATCTGGCGAAAGCCCACCGTCTACGCTCCTCTCCCGCCGGCGGCGGTGAACCGGTTCTCGCCGGTTCCGACGACTCTTCTTCCGATTCTATCCCTTCTTCTTCTTCTTCTCCCGTGGAATCACCTCCCGCCGTCAGCTGATTTTTGATTTCTTTTTTCTTTTTAATTATTATCGCTTTGCTTTGCTTTTAAATTGTTGATTGGGACTGGGTTGATTTTGCTTTGCAAGTGGCTATGGATGTTTTGTCAATTTCTATGTATGTTGCTTATATGCATAAGCTCTGATTGTTGTTGCTTCGTGATTTTTTGCCTGTTTGTTTGATGAATGATAGTAGGAATTAACAGAGTACTAGACAACGGACGACAAGGAACTGCCTTTTCTTTTTTTTTTTTTTTTGAAATGGAAAAAAGATGAGGAGGAACTTTTGCAGATAATAGACACCAGGACAAAGATGCAAGTATATTAGAACAAAATAGAACAAACACAATTTTTAAAACTAAAATCAAATTTTAATTTAAATATTATTACATGTTTTTAAAAATTAAACCACCAAACACAATTTCAGTTTTTTTAAACTGAAAACAATCTCGAAATAAAACTACTAAACACATTTTCAGAAATGATTCCAAAATGAAAATAAAAACGTTTTCGTTTTCATTTTCATACAAAAAATAAAAACGTTTTGGAACCAATTCCAAACGCACCCAAAGGAACTTGGGAAATTGAAGTATTTCCTTAGGATTGAGGTAGCATACTCTAGACAAGGCATCTTTGTATCCCAACGGAAGTATGTGACTGATCTTTTAATAGAAATTGGAAAGGCTGATTGTAAACCGGCTGCCACTCCTATGGACTCAAACCAGAAAATAAGTGAAGCAAGAGAGGAACCACCAGTGGACAAGGGAATGTATCAAAGGCTAGTTGGGAGACTCATATATCTCACACACACTCAGCCTGATAGAGCCTACTCAGTGAGTGTGATCAGCCAATTTATGCACGATCCGAGAGAGCCTCACCTTCAAGCTGCACATAGAATACTGCACTACTTGAAGGGCAGTCCCGGAAAAGAGATTTTGTTAAAAAAGAACTTTGTTTTGACGTTAGAAGCATATACGAATGCAGATTATGCAGGTTCTATAGTGGATAGAAGATCATAGAAGAGCAAAAAGCAGAATGTTGTGGCTAGATCATCTGCAGAAGCTGAATTTCGGGCTGTTGCTCAAGGGATGTGTGAACTACTTTGGCTGAAAATTATTCTAGATGATTTGAGAGTCAAGTGAGAGGAACCTATGAAGCTTTACTGTGACAACAAGTCAGCAATCAACATCGCTCACAATCCTATTCAACATGATAGGACAAAACATATTGAGATTGATTGACACTTCATCAAAGAGAAATTGGAAGGACTCATATGTATGTCTTATGTTCCTTCGGGAGGTCAACTGGCTGATGTTTTAACAAAAGGATTAAATGGTTCTAATTTTCATGAGATTGTAACCAAGCTGGGAATGAAAGATATTCATTCCTCAGCTTGAGGGGAAGTGTCGAGAGGTATTTTAGGCGGGAAATCAATTAGGAAAATTAGTTTTAACAATTCCTGATTTTCCGGCATTGTGGTAGATATTCTTTCCTATTTTCTCTCTATGTAAACTCTATAAATACTTAGCTATGTAATTATTCAATATACGGAAATACACAGATAATTTTCCAATCCCTAGTTTTCGACAAGTATATACATGATTAATAATTTAAGCATCTGCCAGGCAGCAATAGATGATACAACTAATCAAGACAATGACTTGACTGTATAAAAAGCAATCAACCAATATTGTGCCTTCCTTGATGGCTGATTATGGTACAATGCAATTTTGGATTTTGGAATGTTTCATTTAGCAGTGTCATGACATGAAGTATGCATCAATCATGTCCGAGATGACTTTTGATCCTCCACGGGCTTTTTTACTGTCTTTCATTTAAAAGTAGTTGCCGAATGTTATTCCCTTTACAAATGTTTCTGTTCACCAAGGAGAGTGCTGTTTTGATAATTCTGTTTTGGAATAAGATAAAGAAAGGTGACAGAACTGATATGTTTTGATAGGATTATGCTAGTTATGTTAGTAGTTAGTTATCAATATATTAAGTGGTTAGTGGTTTAGTTAATTGGATTTATGTGATGTGAGAATTAGTATAAAAGAGTGTTAGAATAGTAAGTCAGGAGGCAATTTAGTAAATTGAAGTGAGATTTAGTCTCTAGGGAGAGATCAAAGCCTCTCGAAAGCTTTGAAACTATCTTGTATTCCATTATTTTCATTTTACTTCTTCAATACAAAATCAGTTTAATTTCTTCTATATCTTGGTTCCTATCATATTTGTTAGTAGTTTGTTGCTAAAGGCTTATGTTTTCTCTTCATGCAGGGTGAGCATGCTTTGCCACAACAGTTCGTACATGTATTTAAGGATGCCCGCTTTGAAACCATTCCAGTCTCCCACTCTGGAGGGTAATTGGTACTTATTTCAGTTGCCAATTGCAATTTTCTTCCCTCATTTTATTTCTGGAGCAATTGAGAGTGGTTTTCATTTTCTTCTTTTGTTTTGAGTTAGTTGGTTTCGGCATATAATGGTTGATCTATTGATGTTGTTGGTTCTGCTTCTGGCAATCTTGCCTCTTTATATTTATATATATATATATATATATATATATATATATTCACAGTTTGTTTTGAGATGGATGTTGTATTGAGGTTTTTATAGATTTTGTACATTTAATATTTTGTATTCTATCTTTGCTATTTTGAAGATAAAAGAATGGTTTTGAAGCTGTTTGTCACTTGGCTTGAATTGTTTGTTCAGATGTGGTAAAAACGCTACCTAATTGGTTTTGGATGGAGGTATTTTTTTGCTGAGATTTATCTTATTGTCTGAAAAATTTTGAAGAGTTGAATATTTTATGTAAAATTGAATTATTATAGTGAAATTTTGGAATCAATCAATGCGCGTGTAGAAAGCTCAAAGTCGAAAGGGTACCATATGCTCAAATGAAGTTAAAGATGTAGACGCATCAATTGACACGTCTAGTGAGAGTGAGACCCATTTGATGATTTCTAATGGACAGGAGAAGTAAACCTGCTTTTGCCTTTTAGGATTTGGAGTTTAGTTTTCACACAAGGCTTGGTGGTTGACGAGCTGACTAAAGAAGAGCTCCTTTCTCCACACACAAACACATGAGAGTTTAGACGTTTGGTAACATAGCATTTAATCATTGTGGAAAAAATCACTTATTTATTTATTTTTATTTTTTGTGTGTGAATAAAGCACCTTTTTTTCACTTAGCGATAGTAAATAAATATGCTAAAAAGTACTAGATATCCCAAACCTCCTGATGGGGTATGGATTTCTGTCCCTTGAGAGTTGAGACTGTTATAAGAGGAGATCAAACTTTTCAACTAAAAATTGTTAGTTTGTGAAGTTCCTCTAATAGTACTAACTAGCCTGAGTCAGGCACGTGCTTGCTGTGTGGCTATGTTTAAAAGAAATTGTTACAAATTTATTCTCATAATAGAGAAAGTCTTATTTAATTACTCATAATAATTTTTATTAAATTATGTTAAATGCTTATTTTCTTTAATTCAACTTAATTTTAATTGTTTGAAGTTTCATTATTTTGTGAGGATATCAACTTACTTGCTTGAATGAAATTTGAAGGAAATGTTTAATACTAATGGGAAATAATATTAATTTATTTAATTATCAAAATTTTATTAAATTGCCCATATCATTTAATAAAGTAAATATAAAATAAATAAAAACTTTGAACACATTTGAGAATAATTAATTCAATAAATTAATTAAAAAAATGTATAGAGGTGATGTTTGAAAAATGATATTTAGAATACTTTGTAAGAAATATTTAAATTGAAACATAAAGAAAAAATAAAAAAATATAAATTATTGAGAATAAGACTATAAATAACAAATACAGAAATTTAACTTTATTTTGATTACATTACTTTGTTTTACCTGACCCGGTTATTCAGACAGCAAGAAGAGAGCTAAAAAACAAAAAAACAAAAAAAAAAAAGAAAGAAAAAACCAAACTTGAAGCCAGTTGGGCATGCATAACTCTCTCTCTCTCTCGGCAGATTAGCACCAAAAAGCCCAAGGCAACATAAACTGAAAAAATCAAGCCGAGGGCAAAATCGTACAAACACACTAAAGCCCAATTGAAATTCCCAAAAGCCCGCACCCAGCAAAAGAAGAGAAAAAGAAAAAAGGACAAGACAAACATTTCGCAAAGAAAAGGCAAAAAAGAACATACATTATTCAAAAAACAGTACCTCCACCACCTATTATAGTATATAGTATAATGTACCATATACCGCGACTAACTAATTTAGACTTTATATTCATTCATAACAAAAAATTTATTATCTCAACATAAAGATGTTGAATTAAGAAAATTGTGTTATATAATGGCATATACTAATTATAAATCAGTGCTTTAAAGCACTATTTAGGATTTTTCTTAAAACTATTGCCTGCACATTAGATTCTGTGCCATCTCTTGCGGTGAGCACCCTATTAATTGAAGAAAAAAAAATTATAAAAACTTTAGACATCTTAATTTTCCATTTACTTCTGGCTGCTATAAATTTTCATGTGAAAAATCACCTGGACATTTGAAATAAAACAACATATATCTCTCATTATGACAATAATAATTAATAAGAAGGAATAATGAAAAATGCACAAATCTAATTTATTAATTTAACTTATATTGTTGACCCTCTTTCTTCTCTCGTATCATAATGTTTTAGATAGTTACTTGTGTCATTGCACATATTTTATTCATTTATTTATTGTAACCTATTAATTAAAGAAAAAAAATATAATTTATACGAGCTTTTCCATTTACTTCTGGCCCCTATAATTAATAAAAAGGAATAATGAAAAATACGCAACGCTAATTTTTTTTTTTTTGGTCAAGTGGGTTTTTTCTCATTAAGTCTTAACACTTGTGTTCACTCATGTGCTTCATCTGTCTTCACAAGTGGTTCAGTCAATATTTAGGGTCTAATTACCTTTTAGTTAATGGTCATTTGAGACTATTTTTAAGCATGTAATTTGTTAATTTTAGAATGAAAATTTTTCTGGCATGGATTTTTTGGCTGCTTTTTTAAGGAATTTTACGGTTGATTTTTAAACAAAAATAAAAGGAGGGGCGAGAAAGAACTCTCATGCTCCTTTGTTTTGAGGGTTCTGGTTAGTTCTAGATCATAGTTTTTAGTTCGTTATAATGTTTTTCTCTCATAAAAAATTTAAATTTCAAAAATCAGAATCATAAATTATAATTCTGAACTCATAAACCAAACGTGACCTCAAAAACTAAAAACTCTTTCCTAGGATGACCTTTGGGTTCTCCGTCCCAAACCAATTGACCATAACATTTTCCCCCATTCACACACAAAATATGTAAATCTACTCATTTTACATATTAATAACCATGTAAGATAAGATATAACTTCGCATGGCGAAATTATTGGAAATATTCCGCAGAGCTACATAAGATAGTAATAGTAGCGTGGAAATTTGTTAAGTTTTTAAGACAAGTCACACTAGTGGGTGTCCCACCCCCACGAGACTCTAGTACAAGTTCCAGCGGATCCAAGCAAATCTCCTTCGAATTTTCCTCACAAATCTCTCTCTCTCTCTCTCTCTCTCTCATCCACACACACACATTTGTAAGTTGCCATGTTACTACTCAGAAACCACACCACCACTTCACCCTCTATTTTTCACACCTTCTTTACAAGTAATTTAAAAGAAAAAAAAAATTCAACAAGTCAAGCGTTTCTCTCACGCACCCTTCTACTTCTTTCTTCTCCGTTAACTAATCTCTCTACACACCAACTCCAATCATATTAATATATTTTTAATTAAATTAGTTAATAATTTAATTTTTTTTTAAATTTTTCTTTACTTCAACTATTAATTAAATAATTAACTATTTTGACTAAAATATTTTTAGCTGACTAAATATAATTAACAAAATATAACTAATCATTTATTTTTTATTATTTTATTCTTAATTTTAACATAAAATAAAAGTTAAAAAAATATTTAAATTTTAAACTAAAAAAATATTAAAATAATTTATGGTTAATTAAAATAAAGAATATAATTAATTAAAATAAATTTTAAAATAATTTTAACTAAAATTTAAAAAACTATCTCAGAGATGCTCTAAGACACACGTCAAACGACATTAACATTAACATTTACTTCCCTTCTCTGTCTAGTCTCTCTGTGTGTGTGTGTGTGTAAATATAAAGCCTAAACACGTACCAACATTACTTTCATCGTAATCATTCGTGTGTGTTGTCTCCAACATGGCCTCGCTTCCACAACTTTCCATTTCCCTTCTCCCTCTCTTCCTCTTATTCGCAGTCACCGCCTTTTACTCCGTAGGTCAGTTCCCACTATAAAAAACATTTCCCGTTATACGACATCGTTTTTCGACTTAATTCCTTTACTCTTCTTAATTCTTGTTTTTCTTTGCAGACTCGCAATCCTTCGTCGGCGTCAACTACGGCCAAGTCGCCGATACCCTCCCGTCGCCGGCTGCCACCGCCAACCTCCTCCGGTCAACATCGATCAAGAAGGTCAGGCTCTACGGTGCCGATCCGGCGATCATCACCGCCCTCGCCAACACCGGCATCGGAATTGTCATCGGCGCCTCCAACGGCGACATCCCAGCCCTAGCCTCCGATCCCAACGCCGCGACTCAGTGGGTCAAATCGAACGTCGTCCCGTTTTACCCGTCCAGCGACATAACCCTCGTAACCCTCGGCAACGAGGTCCTCACCGTCGGCGACGGGGCCCTGGCGTCGCAGCTCCTCCCGGCTATGCGAAATGTCCAGAATGCCCTCGCCACGGCGGGGCTCGGAGGGAAAGTGAGGGTCTCGACGGTCCACGTGATGTCGGTGCTGGGACAGTCAGATCCTCCCTCTTCGGGTCGGTTCAGGCCCGAATTGGAGGACACGCTCAGAGGAGTTCTGGCGTTTTTGAGGGACAACGGGTCGCCGTTCGCGATAAACCCGTATCCGTTTTTCGCGTACCAGAGCGACCCGAGACCCGAAACGCTGGCGTTTTGCCTGTTCCAGCCCAACTCGGGGCGAGTCGACTCGGGGACTGGTATTAAGTACATGAACATGTTCGACGCTCAGGTGAGTGTGGCTCTGAACTGAAGATGCTGAGTTTTTTTTTTTTTGCTTTTAAAATATGGAAAAGATGCTGAGTTTTTTGGTTTCTTTGTTTATTTTTGTGATTTTGGATTATTAAATAATATATGAATAATTGAGTTGAAATTACGAGGCTACCCCAATCCTGTTGTAGAAAGGTTGACGTCACGTGGGAGTCAAGGGGCAAGAGTATATTGCTGACTTTTATGCGTCAATGCCTTGTGGCATACGTTCGTCACGACATTTACGTAGGACAATACCTTTGTTTATCTTTTAGCCCAAAGGAGAGAGAGAGAATACCTTTGTGCTTGATTCATGAATATGTTGGGGGTCTTAATTATTATTTAGTTTTTTTTTTTTTATTAACTTGCTTAATAAGTGAATTCTCATTGGGCGCCAAAAAGTTTAATAATTAGTAAGATATGGATGTTCTATTTGTAGGATTTCTTTTATATTTTACAATTGGGTTCTCTAATTTTTTAATGTGAGTTAATGTCATAATTTTTTAAACACCTACTAATATATTAGAATAAAAATTTAGTTATCACGTTAGTTGAAATTAAAAAAAAAAAAAAAAAAAAGAGGAAAGTGAGATACAAATAGAATTATGCTTCATAGTTTAGTATTTGACTATTTGGTTCGAGCGTGGACTTTCTACCTCCCCTTCCTTTTCATTAGTAGTATTAGCTCTTTGGATTAGATGCCGTCTTATAGTTTTTGCGAGAAGTGGATTAGGTTTGAGTTCCTCTTTTGCTTGAATTAGGTTTGAGTTCCTCGGATATTTGCAATTAGTACTATTTTAATTTTGAATTAATGGGTATAGTCAACAAACAATCTATTATTCTTTGGGGGTAAGTTTCAGATTGTTTGTATTATCATGTTTTGCATAATTGGATGCCCCAAAAAATTAGTTTGAAAGCATACTAAATACTTTGGTTGTTGTTTATTTTATTTTATTTTTTCTTGTTGAAAAATTTTGTAATAAGGCATACCACACAAATTTTTTTTAATGAAAATACTTTGTTGGTTTTGTTTCACCTTTCAAGATAGTGTAGAATCCAATCGGTTCACACGTGTGTAAAAAGCTACGTTTCATGCATCTTTGCATGTTCCGAGCAAGAAGAGTTAAAAAAGAATGCATTAGGTGTAATTCCTTCTGTTCCTTTTGCGATATGTCATCATTCACTTATAGAAGAAACCATAGGAGCCTTAGAATACAATTTGGATGGAACTTACTATGCTTTTCGTGACTGACAGCCTGGCTCTTGCAATAATTTTCCGACAAGTCCATACAATATTTCCGTTATCATTGGTTAAATTTATGATGGGCTTTAAAAAAGTTGCAAAACTTACACATTGTAAATTAACTTGGGGACCACAGATTTTGATTGCCCTTTGTTTATGGACCAAAAAAAAAAAAAATTTAATTAAATTAAATTAAAAGAGTACACCAAAGCTAGTCACTTGTTTTCTTCTCTTTCATTTTGTTTGGGCTATTTATTATCCTTGAGCATATTTGGAGCACAATTTGCTAGATAAACTTTCAAAAGTAATGAAACCACTATGGAAAAGACCCGGGGAGTGTTTATTATTTTATTTTTACTTAATAGTAGTATAAAGAATGGGATTTTAGCACCTTTGAGGCGCTATAAGGATAATTAAAATTTTCATTTAAAAATTAAATAAAAGACAAACTTACTCATATATTTTTAATAAGTTAATAAATTATATAATACACCAATTATTATTTTATTATATAAAAAGATATTTTTAGTAAATATATATTTAATAAAATATTTTATTCTTGAGTCACTGCAAGACAATAAAAATATTTCCCATTCCACTTACTAGTAGAAAAGTAACACTAAAAAGGGAATCAATAATTCTCATTCTTATTTTTGTACTTTTCTTTTTCAAATCCGTTATTTTTTCCATTACGCTTCACTGTGGTTTGGTAAACATGTCCCTGGGGTTATATGTAACAAGTAAAATTATTCATTTACAGCAGCACTAATTAGACAACTATAGCTGTTTGTTTCATTGAATGACATTTCTTATTGTATGTAGATATTTGATTTTGAGTTCTATTGTAAAACCGGGCCAAATTATCAAGTGCAGGTTGATGCTGTACACTCAGCTCTGAACTCTCTGGGATTCAAGGATGTTGAGATCATGGTTGCCGAGACAGGATGGCCATACCGCGGTGACAGCAACGAAGTCGGGCCAAGCGTTGAGAATGCCAAGGCCTACAATGGGAATTTGATTGCTCATCTTCGATCAATGGTTGGTACACCATTGATGCCTGGAAAATCTGTGGATACATACATCTTTGCACTGTATGATGAGAATTTGAAACCCGGTCCAGGGTCCGAACGGGCATTCGGGTTGTTTAAGCCTGATCTAACCATGACATACGATGTTGGTCTGTCAAATGCTAGGCAGGTGAGAAAGCCAATCATGACATTCCTTGTTGGTCATATTCCATTCTCTACAGAGGATGTTGGTAGTTTTCATTTTTTTCTGTAGAGGGGAGAAAAAAGTTAAGGTTGGTGAATGGACCTTGTCATAGTTGAGAATAATGATAGCTAGTTGGTAAGTTGACTTTACTCTAGTAAACAAATAATGCCATTTCAGTACAACTAGGGACACCAAATATATGGACATAATATATATATATATATATGCATATTTTGTTGGAACCAAGTGACGTTGTAACTTTTAGGTCAAGCATTCATTTGATGAAGGTCGAAAATGAGCGTACGATCATAATTTTTTGATTTTATTTTGTTGTTTTTGAGTTGAGGGTGAGAATTCAATCTTTAGACCTTAATATTGGAGGCGAGGTGTGAATTTACTGTTAAACTATACTCACAACGGTTTGTAATTGATTTGTGTGGTTAGAAATTGTAACATTAGTATGGCCACAAAATTTTTACAAAGAACGTCCTTTGAAGAGATGTCCATGAAAGTGAACTATTAGGTCCGCGTGCGTAATTACATCTCTTTGATTCATCCGTTTCAGGGTCCGTCATCATCAACGGTGAATCCATCTCCAAATCCAACTGCCTCACAGTGGTGTGTGCCCAAGGCCGGTGTCTCCGATGCTCAATTGCAGACCAATCTTGACTATGCTTGCAGCCACAGTATCGACTGTGGCCTGATCCAACCAGGAGGCGCCTGCTTTGAGCCGAATACTGTAGCATCACATGCTGCCTACGCCATGAATCTTTATTACCAAACTTATGGCAAGAATCCATGGAATTGTGATTTCTCTCAAACTGCAACAGTCACATCTGCAAATCCTAGTAAGCTCTTCTTTTGGCAATCATTTTTGGCGTAACTTTTTCTATGTAAAAAAATCAATCTAGTTTTTAATGGCTCAAAGTCATATGTGGTGTCTATGGATAGCCAATTTTCCATGGGGTGGGACACATTATAAAATGATACGTTATCACACACGTAGTTACCAATTCTTAATTCACTACGTTGGGTTTTTTTTTTTTTTTTTTTTTTTTTTTTGCTGTCTTCTTCTTAATGTGGGGGCACACGTAATGATTTAGTTTAATTATAAAACTATCCACATTAGGTGAGAATATAACTCCTCAAGAAAATGATAAACATTTTCTTTAAGAGAACTTAAAAGAGAAGTAGCTTTTGATTATTTTGCTTACTTTCTCTTAAAAGGTAGCTACCACTCTTCAAAATTAATGTGGTAGTTCAGTCACTTTCTGGTTTTCTGCTTTCAATCTGCCTTTTCCGCTTTAAGCTGAACGATTTTTTTTTTTTTTTTTTTTTTTTTTTTTTTTTTTTGCGAATGAGTGTTTTTGTTCTCTTGGATTGATTCTGTTTCCCTCTTGATTGTAGGTTACAATGCGTGCAATTACCCTGGTGGGAGTACTTAATGGGTCAAGAGATCTAGTATGATATCAAGTAAATGATTTTTTTTTTCCAAGGTCAGAGAACAAGAAATTTATAAGGAATAAGATCTTTGTATGGGTGTACCTAGTTTTCTTCTATCCGGTGCTCTAACTGTAAAGATTCCTACTCCAGTTTGAGATTTTCTATTCTAGTAGTTTTCGATTTCTCCTTCAATTTGGCATATCATCCTAGACAGAAAGTAGAGAACTGTCTTTTCTTACTCTGATATGATAATATTATTGGTGCAAAAGTGTCCGCTTTGGCAATACGTTTTCAAACTCATATAAATTACGTGGTATAATAATGTGATTATATCAAATCATAATAGGTTTAGGTGTTCTGTTTAGCAATTTGATATAAATACCCACAAAGCAACTGTTATTACTAGAATGGTAATCACAGATTCATGGTAATAAGGGAGGCTGGACGGTCACGAGCTTATTCTGAAAGTTTGGCACTAAAAAATGTGACACAATTTTGCAAACTAGATTCATGGTAATGCCTTTTGCCTACTTGTGACTTGTGAAAAGGATTACCATTAGATGCAGTTGCCAAAGGATGTAATTGCAAGTGAGTCATTTTCACTCGAGTTCTCAAGTGCAAGATATGCAAATAAATGGGAATATTAGCCCCTGTTTGTGCCGAAATCATGCGAATCCACTAAATGCTCCACCATCCGCACTTGCAACTGTAACCGAGTGTGATCACTTGACCTGAACGAACTATGGGCTCTAATACCACTTGTTGGGAAGACATCACATGTGAAACTGACTCAACACACTTCAAGGGCCTAACTTAACCTAAAAGGTTAACCTATTAAATCTTGGGTTAACCATTTCACGTCTTCATCCACTTTCCATATGAGACAACACACACACACTTTTCTCAACAATTTCAACAACTCAAACTGCTGTTTAGGATTCAAACCTTAGTTCACGATTCAAACTGGTGTTTGGAAGAGGAAAATTCAAGGACAATTCAAACCATTAACAATGATTTAAGGACAATTTAAACCATTAACAATAGTTCAAGGACAACTCAAATTGTTGATTTTAGAAATCACCTTACCCCTAAATTCTGACAATTCGAATTGTTGTCAACAATCTAATAGTTCCAGATTTTACTTTTTTTTCTCTCTTTAATTTTAATCTTAAAAATGTCACAACTTCTTCGTTTTAATTTGGATTGAGATGATTTTTTTAATGTGTTCATAATGAAGAGAGGAACAAATCCACACTATTATTGCATATTTTTTAATGTCATTTATAGTGAGGTTGTATAAGATTTGTTATAAAACTCTAATGATAGTTTTCAACACTTTATCTAAACACAGTTTAAATTTTATGGGAACAACTAAGAGTATATATTAGCTCCTACCTTTTCTTTTTGTTGCTATTCACTAGAATGTCTGCCTATGATTTATGTCGTTTATTTTAAAACTAGTTAAAAATGCACATTTTTTGAGCATGACTCATTTAAAACAATAGTTATACTGAGAAAAAAAGAAAAAATAAATGATAAAAAAATAAAGATAAAAGTGAGAAAAAAAGATCTGAAGTAAAAGACCTGAAAAAAAAAGAAAACTTAAGAAAAAAATGTGTGAAATATTTTTAAACTTAAGTTATAATTTATGAGGATCATAGGTAAAAAGATATTTATGTAGGGACACATTTGAGAATGAATTAATTTAATAGAGTAATTAGAAAAAAAATATTTTAAATAACGGTAAGAAATGTATTTAAAGGAGATATATGTAATAAAAAAAAAGATAAGGGAAGAAAAAGAAGAAAAGAAAAAGAAAAGTTAAAAAAAAAAAAAAAAAACAATGCAACGAAATGCAGGGAAAAAAAATCTAATTAGGGAAATATATGAGCAGAAAAAGAATATAATGTTATTATAAACAAATAATATATATTATATTAGGAAGAGTCTTGCATCCGGCAATCCAAAACTGGTTAATATGTCAGGCAATCCTTTTGAACCGTTGGATGAAAACATTAAAGGCTGGATTTTCATAAGGGCAGGCTAAGACCATGTAATAGTTTATAGATGGGTAGGGGCTATTAAAATATTTGACAAATAACGTAGGCTCTAGTAATATTAAATGCAATTTAAAATGAGTAAAAGCAAATCTTGTTGTTGTTTTAATAGGAGAGAAGTGCTTGATTCATAATCATCTCTGTCTGTCTCATTCATGTTTATGTTTATCCTGGTTCAAATTAGTTCATGACAAAATTTGCTTAATTACTATCGCACAAATTGCACCCGTTAGACATATATTATATGTTCTCTTTTAAAAAAAAATAAAAAAAAAAAACCTATTCACTTGATATTATATACACAGTCATGCACATTAACATATTTATAACGGTTATTAATTAAACTATTTGGGTGTCACGTGAGGAGTAATTTTGTAAGTTGTATCTCCTGTTAATGTTTCAATTATTATGACGTTGTTTCTAATTATTTAGTAATAGAGGACTCATTTGATTGTTAATACACAGTTAACACTAACATTATATTTGCTAAAATGAAAAAATGATAAGAAAAAAGTTGGATAAATTTTAAAGTAGAAATGTCATTTTATGCTATTTTTTATTTTTATTTAATAGGTCAGAAATTAAAGAAAGTTAAAAATATTATGTATTTATATTTAGACACAAGCATAACATTTGCTAAAATTTTCGGGTATCAAAATATTTAATCTAAATTTAGGCAAAAAGAATGAAAATATCACTTATTAATATTTAGTCTAAAAAATTGATTTCAGGATACTAAAATGGTATCTTTTAAAATGTGATGGTAATATTTTAATATATCAAGTGTGACGACACCATATTCATGCATTTGTTCTCTTATTTTGTTCCATTGATTCTGTATGCATTTTGAAACATCGTTTAATATGAAATTTAGGTTCAGTTATTATCTTTGTATAAGTATAATAGGCCAATTCATATGCTTAATCATAATGCTTTATTACTATATTTATACATATTAGTTGAAACTACACGCGTACGCGTGCTAGATTATATAAGTAAGAATGAAAAACATATTTATTAGGGTTCATTTAGAGAAATAAAAAAATGTATAATAGGACAAAAAGAAAAATAATGAAAAAAAGGGGAAGAAAAAAAAAGAGAGAAAATAGAATGAAAATAAAAAAAGAAAAAAAAAACCTCATTAACGAAACGTTTTATTAGGGGAAGATGATTTAAAAAAAATAGACAAGAATATTTATGAGAAGAAATTAGTTGAACGGAGAATTAAAAAGAAGTATATTTATGAGGGATAATTTAGAGAAAAGAAAAAAAAGAAAAAAATGTACAATAAGGTAAAAAAGATAAGAATTTAAAAAAAGTAGAGAAAAGAAAGAAAGCAAAGAGAAAAATCGGAGGATAGTTTTAAAAATAAGGGAGATTTTTTGGTACGCATGGTGTACTAATAGATTAGGTTTTTCTAACCGTTAGATCTGCGTACTTTTTGACTTTTACATGATTTTATGCAGATCTCAAAATAAAAAACCTAACCTACTAATATGTTGGTGTATTAGAGAAAGTCCTTAAAAATAAAAAGAAAAAGAAAAAAAGTAAAATAAATAAATAAATGGCGAGAAAAAAAGGTAAGGAAACGGGGTAATAAAACCAAAAAAAATGATTCACGCTTTTATATTAAGTATGGAGTAGTCTTTCTAATACTTTTGTGTTTTGATTTTACTCAACTAAGTTTAACAATCACAAGCTTGTTTACTTTTGATACTACTAATTAATTTCAATATTATCTATATTTTGCTATCCTCGTTTGCTATTTACTCTATTAACTTCTCACTATTGAGTTAAATGAATTCATCTATGTGTATATTACTCTCAGCATTACTCTATGCTCGTTTCATTATGTTCTCTACATATTATTCCTACTCATGTTTATCTTTGTTTAATTTAATGCATGGTAAAGTTTATAATTTTTTTTTTCAAGCCCAAAACATGGGGTCATTAAACTAAGGTTAACTGTTTAACTCCTATTAAATTTGTTACATTAAGGTTGTGCTTCTGAGATACATGCGTCTCCTCTTATTAAACACAAAATAAATTATGTTACAACGTTTTGCTTCTTCAAATACACTTTTTTTGGTACAAATGTACACTAGCAGGTATCTGGTCTTACAATGTCGTCCATCTAGCCAATTTACCAATTTTTTAAGCCTTCGTACAATTTACCGTTTGGTTAGAGGATTCGTTCTCTGATTCGAATTATGGTTCATGGTTCGCTACAGTATTTTCTCTTACAAAAAACACACGTAAATAAAAAATAGTTCTAATCCATGAACCAAACAGGCCCTTCAACTCATTTTTATATCGTTTCTTACTAATACCTCAACCTTTTAACTCCTACAAGTGCTGGAACTTCGGCCGGTAGGCCGCCCGAAGCCTGAATTTTTTCAGGCTCGGGCGGGCAGGCCCATTTACCGGCCCGTTCAAGGTGTATTTTCGGGCTCGGGCTCGGGCAGCCCGAGTTTTGAGATCACGCTGGAGCTCGCCACCGTGTAGGTGCCGTCGACCGCCGTCCGCCGGAGTTTTTGTTTGAATTTTTCTGACCAAGCCCAATTTGCCCGAATGCCCGACCCGACCGAACCCGAAAGTTTGAAAAAAAGGTCAGAAAATGACCGTTGGGCTGCCCGACCCGAATTTTGCCCGAAACCCCAAATTTTGCCCGAATACCCGAGATGCCCGATTTGTCCGAACTGCCTGAAACCCGTCCAACGGCTAGTTTTTGCCCGAACCCGCCCGAACCCGAACCCTAAACTAGCCATTTTTGCCTGAATTTTTTGAAAAAAAAAAAAATCAATTTTTTAACCCAAAAATTTCCCTATAAATACCCCCTCATCCCCTACACGTTTTTCTCACTCAAACTCTCTCAATCCCTCTCAATTTATCTCATTCTCTCTCAATTTCTCTCAATCTCTCTCAATTTTTCAAATCTCTATTACAATTTTTTTAAAAACTATCACATTATCCAACAACGCGGCGATCCATAACAATACAAAACATTAGGTATAGTAATTTTAAACTTTTTCCCCTGACATTTACTATTGATTACAACCATTTGACATGAATATAGTATTTTTCCTCGTTTATCATTCAATTTTATTACTCATTTTTATAAACAACATTTTCTTTACAGAAATGAACAACTATCGGTCAGCCTATGGGGACATAAAGCGGATCAATTTGATGAAAATATGGTCAAAACAAT